TTAAAATTTGGCATTTCTTAAATATTAGAAATAAGCTAAAATAAACTTTCAAAACTTGTAACTACTAACAAACTCTAAGTCAAGAATTACTGCTATTTTGTCAAGTTAAAAGCTTTTATTCAGTTGAAAAAGCACATTAAACAAAACTTAATTACAAACAAAATTACATGTTCAGTAGTCGGGGTCACTGTGCCGAAGCATACGATAGCAAGTGACTAATTTTGCGCATTTTTCATTGCTCAGTCGATTTCTGAGTTTAGTATGGATGAGTCCAAAATTCAAGAAGATTCTGTCAATGGAAGCCTGTCATTGAGGATAATGATAACAAAAGGTTATTGCAATGTTGCAAGGAAACTCTAAAAGGATTTACTAGGATTTTTCCTGTCTCATTTCTGTGTAAAATATTGAAAACATGTAAAATATAATCTGTGTAAAATATATAAACATGTTGGGAAAATGCAAGAATCTGTTCTTAAATATCCTTTAACAACTTTTTTTCTAATTTTATTGCCCAAAAGTTAATTAATTTTAAATTATAAGCAGTTAAACTCAAATAAAAATACAGTTTTACCAAAACTCTAGGTTTTTGACATGACGGTAAAAACCATGGTAATAACCGGTAAAAACCGTCATGTGTCAAAAACTTGCCAACCCTGATAATTACCCTTGATTGACTTATCATGCTTTGTGTTCCTCTTTTTGATTTTAACATGTTGGCAGCTATGAGTAAGATGAATGTATTTTAACGATGGTAGTCAATTTCATAGGCAAACACAAAGTGCATACGATCGATGCTACTGAAAAAAAAAATTCAAGTTTGATAGGTTAATTAAAACAGTCAAAGTGACTGAAATTGTTAGTAGCAATCTAACAAGATATTGAGGTGAAAGTTGGCAACTAGTTTAGTTTAAAATGATTGACCGGTGATTAATTTAAAATAATTCTGCCCTGGCATCGTATAATTAATTTTCTTTACTATTGAAGTGGTCAAAATTTTAAAATTATATTTAAGAACAATTTAAATTTCACTGTCTAAATGCTTCTGCCACTTTAAATATTTATTAAATAAAAGTCTCCCAGCAGAGTTGAAAGTTGTTTTTATATATCTTATTGATATCACAGTATTATATAGAGCATCCCCCCCTACCCCGTCTTCTGCCCGAATCTTNCCAGTGACTGTGTTGTAAAACTTAACCTTTTTTTTTATTTTTGTCCAATTTCATGCCTGCTTTATTTGGTTCTTTTTTTTTAATCATATTTTACCCCAGACATTCAAAAATTTACTATATTTATTAATGCTAGCATTGTTCTTTACTTATCGTATGAGACGGTTTCTTGGTAAGTGAACTAATTTTTAATTTAAAGTAAAACCAATTTTGAATGCTGAAATCAGAAAAATTCCTAAAATTATCATTTTCATTGTAGGAGAAGTTTTTGAAGTCGTTCATAAAGATATTAAAGTTAACTTTATTGTTTGTTCTGGCAGCCAGACTGCTAATCACTTTAAGTAGCCCAGGGGAAAAAGACTGTCAAAATTTTTAAGACTATCATCATTTCAAAAATTTCTACTCCTTACCAAATATCTTCCAGCCGTTTTGCTTCTTCTGAGAGCTTCATGATTAATGAAATTTTACAATTTCTTTTTGTTTTCTTTATTTTAACTGTTTCATTGCAAATTAAAATGCAGTAAAATTAAAAACTATCTCATTGTGTGTGTTACTTTCTCACTTTTACTATATTTAACTAATTTGATCAATTTCTTCTTAATTATTTTAGGAATTTACATAAGTTAAAATTAACTTTTCAACTCTTGTCTTTTTTGAGTTTAAGTTGATTTACTTACTATTAGCTTAAAATGATGATAATATATTTATTTATACAGTAAACTCTCACTTATGCACCGGTGTAAGGGGCCAAGAGAAAAAAGCGCATAAGTGAAAAACTTCAAAATTCTAAAGCGCAACGTAAATTGCAGTGACAATACGAATAAATATGTTTCTAAAGATTAAATGTTAATATTTATACTGTTTTGGTATTTACTATAAATATACAAAGAAAAAATTTAACATACCTTAGGACAAATTAATTTCTGACAAAATAATCTTAATACATGTTTGTATTTGTTTTTGCCGACGTTATTCAAAAACAGTTTTTTCCAGTTAATATAAATGGGGTAAAGGGGAGTTTCAGATGCAAAATTAAATTGTAAATAGTCAGGAATAGTGTCTAAAGCTTTTAATACTGCTGTGTGATTTGGAGGAACTTTATCATCTCGTCAGTATCATCCAAAACGATCTCATCGTTCACAAGTTTTAGTTAGATATAAATGAACAGTTCTTCACAAAAATTTGAGTTTTATGGGAGGGGGTGAAATATCACATGATAAATTTCTAAGAAAAGTACTTGACGTCATAATATGCTGCATAATAAGTTGTTCAAGTACTTCATTCACTAAACAGATCGCTTCCTTTTATTTAGTCATAATGTCCATCTGACTGCAAGTAAGTGATCGCGGTCTCTTTCATCTTTCGTATTCCAGGTGTCATTTTTTTTTTTCTTTCTAGAAAACAGCATGGGAGTAAAACTAACCTCTGGACAAGAGGAATGGTCATTTTCTAAAAGATGAATGGGCTTTCATTGTCGTTGGTATAACAGATAAGACACCCCACCCCATTCAAAATTCTAGAGAGAATGTCTTTCCAGAAACAGCAAAAATGCAAAAGGTCACAGGGGGAAGCAAATTCAATAGGATTTAACATATATTTCTTTTTATCTGTGACAAGGATTGCTTATTTGCTTCATTTTTAAGTTAAAAATTTTTTTTAAAGGAAAAATATTTAAAGGATTAAAAAACTAAAATGTTGACCTAAAATTTTGGCGCATAATTGAAAACTTTATTTTTAGAGCGACGCATAAACGAAGGGTGTTCATCGTTGTTTTCCTATCTAATGTACTGGGACCTATAAAAATCGCCGTATAAATGAAAAAGGTGCATAAAAGAGGTGGTGTGTAAGTGAGAGGTCACTGTATGTTATTTCTAATATGTCATTTTTCTGGCCTTCTAGTCACTTTCCTGGCATTCAAAATTTGGTGAATTTCTATTATTTTTTTTTTCTCAGGCAAATGTTAGTAAACTGCACTGCTGTCTCTAAGATATTAATAAATGTAACTAAATAAGTATACAAATAAAAGAAATTAATTGTTTTGAAGACTTTAAATTTGAAGAATTTTTTTTCCAGAATTGTCATGTTTCCAAAGAATCACTCAAATAGTCAAACCTCATTAACGGATATTGATAGTGCTGTTATAATTATTTCATGTTAACCGGTATTCATCTTATCCGATGCATCATAAAAACAATTTATTATGAACTAACAATGCATATTATGTCCTACATTAATGAATGTAAACAATACTATTCTGTACCTTACAAATTAAATTTAGCTTAAAAAATCTAACAAAATTTTTTATTTTATTGAAAATAACAAATGAAAAATATAATGTACATTCCAACTATTTAAAATACATTTTATTTCAAGCTGCAATAGTCTGTAATTGATTTTAATTTCATCTCTTGATTTTACTTTTTATTTTCAAGCTGCTGAAACTTTACTAAACAATTTAAAAACCGAAAATGTGTTTTCTTGTTGAAAGAAAATTTTCATTAGTTCTCAACTATGCAACAGTATTCTGTGAAGTGATTGGTCGAAAAACCTCCTTCATGATTTTGTTTTTGCTCATTTGAAGATTCCCCCTTTTTTTCTAAAATATCTGCAATCATGTCTGAACAGATATAGCATTAAAAGTTAGGGATCAATCAATCAATAAAATGGACTCTGTTTAAAAATCTTATATCGCAATTAGCATGCACACAGTTTAGAAATCTAATATTGTGATTTGTATTCACACATTTTTAAAATCTATTATCAAAAGTTCTAAGCTTTTTCAGTCTAAATCCATGGGTTTGTGTATTTATATTTAATCTATGACAATAGAAAGATGACAGCACTTCTTAATGTGAGGGGGAGTGTAGAGGCCTCTAAAGTTCAAGTATTTTCAATGGGGGGGGGGGGGGNGGGGGGGGGGGGGGTAAATCTATAGCTTCATTGTCATCATCAGGTTTTTAAACATTATTCCCCTTCCTACCAATATGTTTTATTTCCTTTAATTACCTAAGATATCATCCATGTTTGCAGTTTAATAAAAATTTGACTCTATTATAGACTTACCAACTTTTGCTTGAAAAGTTTTTCAAATTATAGCAATTTTATTTAAATTAATAATACACCTCCCACTGATATGACTTTTATTCTACCTAACTTTAATGTATTACATATGCTGCAACATGATCGCCCTCTTACCATTCTCATATTTGTTTTATGGACATGCTTGTCTACAGGGCTGGATCAGGGAGCTAAAGACATTGAGGGATAATTTCGAACTCTATCTCTCCCAAATTTAAAAAGAAATTATTTATTCAGTCATAATGCAACTATTTTTTAAAAAATATTCAATTCCATTAATCATATTTTATAGAACTGTTAAAAGAAAAATAATATTTGAATTAAATATTTCTTTTTTATTTTATACATGAGCCAACTGATTGAAACTTAATGTATATTTACAATAACATTTTCAACTACATGGGCAAAAAACGTGCGAGACTTGCTTAAATTTCTTATTGGACCTGTATATAATTTTTTTTCTTCATTATGTTCAAAAATAAAAAATATTGTTTTGTCAAAATCATTGCTTAAGTGTAGAGTTGCCAAATTTAAGTCAGGCCATAAAAATGCTGGATTTTCTTAGAACTACTATTTTTTAAAACTACACTAATATAAAACAGGTTAAAAATTTATTGTTAACTACAAACTACATTAATGTGATTATATGTTAGGATTCATAGAGCTATAATAGACTAAGTCCGTTGTTATATTTCCCCATCTCTCTTCGTCTGAAACATCAGAGTCCCCTCAGTCGCATGCTTTCTTTTTCATTCTGCAATTTGGGCAAAGAAAGGACATCAAAAGACAATTGATATGAGTCCTCTTTTTTGGTAGATTCATGTTTTTCACGTTAACAGGCAATGGTGGAAAATTAAGCGCTTCAGAAGCATTATGATTATTGGAACAGTTAAGTATTTGATAATTTTTTTGACAAGAAATAGCTAGATTAAAAGTTGTTTTAGAATTTCAACTTTTTCATATGTATGAACAGTACAAAATTTTTATTGATTTATCGATATTGAAGCATATAAAAACTCTTAAATTTTAGTCTAACATAAATTTTAAAATGGTACTTACTGCATCTTTTAAAATCATGGATATCTTTTTTAGGTATTCGGGATTTTCGAAAAGATGTACTAGAACTGATTTTAAGAAAGTCTAAAAATAAAAGAGAACTGCATCACCTTAAAAAAAAATTCATCACTCTTTTTATTAACCAGCTTTCCATTTTATTTTAACTGCTAGTATTCTCATTCACATATTATTGCAATTAAAGATTAATATCTGAAGATTTCATTAAAGAACTTAAGTGTTAAGTGCAACTTAGCTCCATTTATCAAAGTTTTGTAATCTTTCATATCCCTCTTGTTATGAAAGTTGTCGAGAGAACAGTTCAGAAAAGAAAGTATAGGGCCGCTTGGTAAATGAATAAAATCCATAAAAGCTCCTGAGGGACACAAGGTGCAATTAAAAGCATTGACCATACCAATATGATATCTGCGTCTCTGGAGGAAGAAATTTCCAGGCACTAAAGATTGAGTGAGGAAGGCTCGTTTAGAGTTAAGAGTACAACAATAAAACTACAAGCCTTATCCCTCACAGCTTCATGTCTATTATGGAAAGTCTTTTATAAATAAATATTATATTCATTTATTTATTTCCGTAAAATATTATATACTTCTCTTTCTCTTGTGAAGAAAAAGAGAATATTTCTAAGAAATAATCCAATATAAACCGATTATAATATATATATTTTTATGCGTAAGGAATTGAATTCTATTAACAATCTCAATGTGAAATTTGTTTTATCTATAGTCTTTACTATATATTGCGTTCAATAAATTGTTTAAAAACTGGGAACTTAGTCTAATAAGTGGTACTTAATTTTTAATATTTTCAGAGCTTTATTATGACAAAGGGAATCATCATGAATTTACATCTTTGGTGAAAGATCTTGCTAGACCTGGTGAACTATGTCAAAACATAACATATACTTTTGAATTTGTAAATGTAGAAAAATCATTTGAGTCATATACTGGAGCTAATGTACGATTAAGGTATGCTCTTGCTATTTAATTTTTTTAATTAGACAAAATTTCAAAACAGATTTTAATTTATCTTAAATTATACTAGGTATTTTCTGCGAGTTACAGTTGTTCGAAGACTAACAGATATAGTTAAAGAGATGGAAATCATTGTTCACACCTTATCTTCTTATCCTGAGATAAACTCTCCTATAAAAATGGAAGTGGGAATTGAAGATTGTCTTCACATTGAATTTGAATACAATAAATCAAAGTAAGATTGATTTTTCTCATTGTACTTAATTCATTTTTGTGTCAAGATAAATACCACTTTCTGAATAGCTGGAGTGCTCACAAATCAACTAGGGCATTGCGCTTAATGACTATGCAAATTTCAATAGTTTTCTGACTGCTATAAAAAAGTTTTATTGCCAAACAATATTTTATCCACTTTTTGATTTAAAGAAGAAGAAAAATAAAATAAAAAGCTTTTAAAACCATGTTTTTGCTGTTAGTAAAAAAGTTTAAAATTTTATTTTTAATACAGCTGAAACAAAAAACTTGGGTGCATCACTAATGCCATTCTTATTATTTTTTTTCTGAACTGTTTGAATTTTGCAATTGAGTTGTATTTTCAATGTACTGCAACTGTAAAGAGAGAGTACCGACACTGTAAAGATAGGTAATCTCTTTATGGAAATGTTTGCTCAACAGCATTTGAATGAGTAACTCGTCAACTTTTCAGTTAATGAGAAAGTTAAAATTTAAAATATTGGGTATTGTATTTTTTTTTCTTCATTTCCTTGGGTAATTTTAAATGTTATGCAAAATGTAAAGTTATGATATTCCTCTCCACTCAATGTTTAATACAGAAAATCATCAAATGATTATTTTCCAAGGAGCTAATTCTTTCCACTGATATACAGGAAAAGAATAAATGCAGTTCACCATTGTATATGCAACATTTGGCTTGAAAATGAATGTAGCAGTAGTAAATTTACAACAAATTTGTATAAAAAATTTTAAGGGTGCACTAATTTACTTGCTCAAAATATTGAGTGAAGTATTTTCTTCAAATGTTAGAACTGGCTTTGCGCATCATCGACTTAATCAATTTTATTAGATTCTTCCGTATCTTTCCTTTATTTATTTTAGTCTTGAAAAAAGAGTAAATTTGGGTAACTCTCTTCGAGACCAGAACGAAAATTACATTTTTCCTATGAAAAATCAATTTTGAAATGGCATTTTCTTTCCGTAAACAAAGTTAATGCCTCACTAATTAAATTCTTTAGTTATGGTGCCTGAAATACCATTTTCAATTTAAATTCTCCAAATGATGGTGATTGGAACAAAGTTTTTCTAGTTTCGGTGAATTTTTTGAAGGATTGGCACAAAAATTTGCTATCTTTGGAAACAATCTTTGCCGATATTATTAACATTATTAGAATAGCAGTTTTAACAGAACCATTGAAAAAAAAGGTATATATGGGTGAACTAAAGAGACCGGCATGATGTTTAAAGGTTCTACTGTATTTCTTTTCTTCACAAAACATTTAAAAGAGCACATTTTAAATGGGGTTTTTTTCCTGCTAAAACAAATTTTTGTAACATGAAAAATACTTTATTTTAAATAATCCAATCATATTATGAAACATTTCCCTTTAAGTTATTGTGAGTTGGAAACCTCGTTTTTAGGGAGGTTATTTTTTTAACTATTTCTCCGTATCCATTTATTTTTTTTTATGTTATCAAATTATGTTTTCATATTAATTCTTTTTGTTTAATAATCAGTTGCAAACTTAAATTATTTAAAATAATCGAAATTGCTAATAATTTCTTAGAAAGATTTATTCATATATTAAGTATTGAGGAATGGATTTTGACCTCATGTGTTATTGTTTCCTTATGTTAATTAAATAATTTTCTTTATTTATAGGTACCACTTAAAAGATGTTATTGTGGGAAAGATTTATTTCCTCTTGGTTCGAATAAAAATTAGGCATATGGAAATAGCTATATTCAAGCGTGAAACTACTGGTTCTGGTCCAAATTCCTACAGTGATAATGAGACAGTAGCTAAATATGAAATAATGGATGGTGCTCCTGTAAGAGGTATGCTTATGAGTGGTTCTCTTAAAAACTTATGAACGATACCTTAATTATCTGAAGTATTTTGAACTGAACTTACTTAGGGTTAAAAAAATTAGTTTTACATTCGTTTCAGCAAAACTGAAAGCCATCATGGTTGAACTGGGCTGTGTGAAGAAATGAATGGAGGAAGCAACTATAATGATCTATTTCGCTTAGGGATGTAAACGAATAGTGATTGCTGAATACCGAATATTCAGCCAAAAAAATCAATCAAATACCGAGTATTTGTCGGCCGTATAGTACCATTTTTTAAACAAAAAATATTAATAAATATGTTTTTGATATAAATAAGTTAAGTCATATTAAAAATAATCAAAACTTGGCTGTATTATTGGTATGTGGGTAAAGGGAAAAGAGCTTTAACAGAAATGTTTAAAATAATAAAGATAATTAGATATTAAGATAATTAGAAATATTAAAGATAAATTTTAAAAAAAAGACAGCTTTGAAAAAAAATATTTTCTGAGAAAAATTATCCATAAAGCATTAAAGGAGATAATGTCTATCAGAAATGCTTTTTAAAATGATGTGCTATCATAAAATACCCATAAAAACACAGATTATGTACAAAAGCAAAACAGAAAAAAATATAAATCTGTCTTGAAATTTTAAAACACTTAAACATTTCAGTTTTCTAATTACTGTATTTCCGAAAAAAAGTAAAGATTAAAAGTCTAAATAGAAACCCTCTGGACTGCCTTGTCATAATAAAAACGTATATATAAGCATAAGTTTTTTTAAAAAAAGACCTAGATATAAACGAAAATCGTTCTTAATTTTTAAACTAAAGATTTAACGCTAAAAATCTTGATTCTACTTTTTCTTGTTGCCGTATTTTTTTTTACAAATTTCATAATATAAACACTGATAAAAAAATATTTATTTTTGTAAAAATTGAAAGAGAAACAGAAAAAAAAATTGTTTTTAGTTCAAATTCAATTTTAATGCAATCATAAAAGTTGAATACTAATTAGTTTCATAAATATGATTAAAATATAAAAAGCAATTATAATAATATATGAATAATATATATATTATAGTATAATAATATTTGAAATATTATATGAACTTAATTTATAAATTATATCTTACAGTTTTACTTAAAAAATTCAATTACTTTTTCAAGCTACAGGAATAATTTTACTTCCTTATATCTGAGAGTTTTTCAGAAATGAAGTAAACTGATATTAATTATAGTTTACTATAATAGTTCACAACAAATTGTCTAAATATTCAAAAAATGCAAAATTTATGCATCAAAAGTTAAGAATTTGTAATGAAATTTTAATTATGAAAATCATTATAATAACAATAATTTTATATGGGGTGACCCGGGGGAATTCGCGATCACACTGTTCTGGGGTAATTAATGATAACCTGAGTTTTATTTTTAAAATTTTTTTTTTTTTTAATTTGGGACATGGCAGGGCTGATTGTGCTCCGGAAGTTTCTGGAGATCGAAGGTCCAGACGCTTAAAAAAATCATTGATCACAGAAGTTTCCGGAAATTAAATTTTTAAAGTTAGAACTTACAAACACAGTTTATTTTATTTATTTGTAAGGAAGAGACAGAGAGATATTTTATAAGCTTATATTCATGATTAATATTCATTTTTTATCCGTAAATAGTTGTTATAATCATAAACTCAAGAAAGAAAGACATATTTGTAAATTTTAATTACTTCTCCAGGTCATCATTAGTATGTGTAAATGGTATAGATATGTGCAAAACTTTAAATATATTTTAAGTAAACTAAGAAATATTGAGATAAAGGAGAGAAAAAACTTTGTTTAAATGTTTTTCAATTTAAACTTTTTTTTTTACTCGAGAAATTTTCCGGAATTTTGGCTTGGACTTCACAATCACCCGTGGACATGGACAAGAATGCATGTACACTTTACTAAGGTATAACTACATTTACTTAATAAAAGTTTTTTGTTTAATCTAACAAAATAAGTATCTTTTAAACTGCTTTCTGTATTTTCCATTTCAAGGGTGGGTTTCAAAATGTGCACATTTCTGCAAAGATCCTCCTCCTTCTCTTAATAACAGTGTTTTCACTACAATGCGAGAACACGAGAATCTCGTATATTTTTTTTCTTTTCCCGCATTAAAAAATTATTAACGAAGTTCGCGCACTCTATTAATCAATTTTAAAATGGCAAATCTCACGAATTTTGGAAAAAATTTCATCTTCCGCCATTTTAAATAAAATCAGTTTCCCTTTTCTTCTTTGATCTTTCATTATTTTCAACATTGGTCCTTGTTATCTAGCTTCCCTATTTACCAGTATTGTTCAGAACAGGTGCGAACAGCAGAACACCATCCCCCCCCTCCGGACCCCTTTCAGAACACATTTCTCTGCAGCCACGTGTTCACTGTAGGTAAGGTTTCTTCATGTAAGACGTTTAAATTTTGTGTGCATAAATGTAAGATGGACATGTTAAGGCAACATCTTCTACTCCGTAACGGACAAATGAAAGGGAAACAAATGTTGGTAGAAACGGTCAAAACGAAACAAATACAGATATTTTTCAGCTAAATAAAAAATCAGTTAAGAAGAAAAAAATGAGTCCAGTCAGCTCTATTTCTAAGAATTACCAAACTCCCTCATGGACAATTTAAAGTTAAAGGCTGTGAAAACTATGCTATGCTGGAAGACATCATGGAAATAACTTCAACGAACTTCACTATTCTGTAGCAGAAATAATTGAAAAGCCTATGCTGGTAGATGTGGAGGATAAGTCAGCATCTGTTGCAAGGTCATTTAGCACCCAAAACCGATTTAAGACAAAATATCACAACAGATTGACTTATAAGCATTTGAGCAACCTATTGAGAATAGCTGATGAAAAAGTAGATATAGAACATTTTCCATATGATGATGCAGCAAGAATATTCAATGCTTTAAAAATTAGAAGATGTTAAAAATGTATTGTAATTAAAGAAATATTTTTTTCCCAAGTCTATTCATGTTTTTTTTTAATTTTTAGAAATCTCACCCTGTTTTTGAGAAAGGGTGAGAAATTCTCTCCTTTTTTTTCTGCAATGAAAACACTGTAATAATAAATATTTTGAGTTACTTTCTTTTTCATTGACCTGAAAATAGTGTAAGCTTTTGTTTAATTGTTTCACATCTACTGTAAACATTATAATTGATTACATTAAACTATATCGAATGTAGCCCCCTACAGATGGGGTAATTCCTGATCATTGTCATTTCTTTTTATAAATAGTTATAAGAAATAGCTAGTTGTCTTTTCTCAAATAACAGTTCATATTTGTTAAGTGGAACAACTATAAAATATATTTTAACTGTAATCACAAAATTTGTTTTTAACTGTATACAAGACAAATGTGTTCTGATTTGCACAATTTCTGGTTTGTCTTACCTTGCATCTATCTTAATTTTTATGTGTGTACATTGTTAGAATGATTTTTAAGTTTATAAATTAGCCTAATATAAATATGGTGAGAAATTATAAGCCTAAAAAGGATACTAAGCTTCTAGAAAGCAAAATTAGTGAATTTCTTTTAAGGATTGAAAATGAAAATTTCAGTGTGAGAGCTGCTGCCAGAGCTGTTAACATACCTTACTTAACTTTACACTCTCACTTAATGAAGTTACAAAATCCAGCAAAAGTAACCCATGTGGGAACTCTTTCTTATATTCCAGCAAAGCATGAGAATGAGTTGGCTGCTTGCCTAAAATGTATGGCACGATGCAAAGATTTTTAGAAAATTTAAAGTGTTAATCTTTATTCTTGCTTTTTAAATAAATTGTTTTATTAGCTGCTTAAACATATCTTTTTGGTTTATTTGTTTGATCTTGATGTCTTATTTGTTAATTACCATTGTATAATTATTTTTAAACAGTCCCTTTACTATGAAAACTGGGGATCAGTAATTTCCTCAGAAATGATCAGGAATTAAGCCAGAAAATGATCAAGAGAAAGGGTTATTCCTGATCACTAAAAATTTAAAATCTTTTAAATTCTAATTAGATTTTCAAACAAAAGGTAGCACAGAACTCATCTCATATAGCCTCAAACTTCCAGTAAATATTAAAATTTTATCTTCAATAGTTTTTCACGAAATAGATGTTTGCCTTTTTTGATCAGGAATTACCCCAGCTCACCCTAAATGAAGAAATATTCAAAAGGGTTTACGAACCCCATTCAACAATGTGTTCTTCAGAACAGATACTTTACTTTCTCATCCTAATTAAAGATACTTTCAAAACAAGTTGACAACAATGCACTAATTTATCAGTTAATTTAGTTTCTATTAATTAAATAAGTTAGTTCTAGTTAATTAGTAATTATCATGTTACATATCAAGCTAATTAAGCTCAATTATATAATGATTAAAGCTTAATTATTAAGTTAATTTATCTTCAATTGTTTGGAAGTTTTTGTTTAAATGAAAAAATTTGCAATTATTTCGCTTTTGAAGTAAAATCTATTGATCTAGTCTCTCTATTCTAAAAAAAAGTTTTTGCAGTTAATTTTGTCCCCTGAAAAACTTTTTAACTACGTGATGAAAATCTAANGCCTCAAAGGAAAAAAATCTCTACTGATCACCTGGAAAGTCATGAGAAATCATGGAAAGTCTTGAATTTCGGTATTGAACAAAATTTGTCATGAAAATCATGGATTTAGGTCTCCAAAAAATCAGATTTTTAAAATGGAATTTACCCCCCCCCCAATTTCATGGTTTTCCGAATATCTAAATTTGTAACAAAATCCCCACTCACAGTCATATTTTATTAAAATATAAAATGTTCTATCATGCTCTTTAAAAATTACGGTGTTCTTTTAACCCCTTAACTGCCGCGGGCGTATATATACGCTTTCCTGAAGTACGATGCCTTGCATTGCGCTGCTATAAATAAAACTGCACCCCCTACTTCGGAATGCAGTAAAATAACCTTGAAAGTGTTTGCGAATGTATTACTAATTTCGGAGGGGGGGGATGGGATGTGTTGAAAAAGTGATATCGTAGTTATTGCTTGTGTGCTTCTGATTGAGTAAGGTCGGGTTTATTCTTCTTTCGCTTTCGTTTACCGTGTGTATTTGGTGCATTTTATTTTTTGAAATGGAAATATGTTGGAAAGTGATGATAGTGAGTTAGATTACTACTTTCCGTCATCTTCAGGATCAGATTTGTCAGAATATGAAATTTCTACAGGTGAAGATGATTTTGATTATGATTATTCTCTGAAAGATACCTGCCAGTGGACAAGACTGGATATGAAAAATTTGCCAGCGCCACCTCCACACTTTCTATTTTTGGGACAACCAGGAATAAAGAAAAATATTACGGATGTTTCAAACCCACTTCCTTTTTTTGAATTATTTTTTGATGAACAACTTGTTCTTCATATTGTTAGTGAAACTAACCATTTTGCTGACCAATTCATCAATATGCATCCTGGAAAAGAGAAATCAAGAATGAAAAAGTGGTATCCAACAAATTTAGAAGAAATGTATGTTTTCCTAGGTATTTTGATTTTACATGGAATAACAGTAAAACTTGAAATAGAGCTTTGCTGGTCAAAAAATCAATTGATTGAGACTCCAATTTTTGAGAAACTTATGAGTAGAAATCGTTTCCAGATGATAATGAAGTTTTTCCATAATTTTGATAATAGGACTTTCGATGAAGAATCTCATCCAAACCCAAAACTCAGAAAAATATGGCTGGTTTTTTCTGACTTGATGGAGAAATTTTCCAGTGTTTATACGCCCGAAAGGGATTTGAGCATTGATGAGAGCTTGATGCTTTTCAAAGGTAGGCTGTCATGGATACAGTTATTCCATTGAAAGGAGCTCGCTTTGGAGTGAAACTGTTTGTTCTCCCTGAAACCGAGTCAGGTTATATTCATAACACTGTCGTTTACACATGAAAAAGCACAATGTATGGCAAAAAATATGAGAAGTATGGCGTTGCTACCAAATCAGTGATGACGCTTATTGAACCCTTTTTGGGAAAAGGTTATTGCATCATTGCTGACAATTTCTATCTGTCACCAGAATTAGCAGACCTGCTTATCCAAAGCAGGTCTGATGCATATGGTACTCTTCGTCCTAATAGACGTGATTTGCCGGAAAATTTTAACAAACTAACTTTGAAGAAAGGCGAAATTGCTGCATTTCAAAGAGGCAAAATTAGTACATACAAAAAGTATGTGTCACTTCTTAGCTCTATTCATACAGCAAACTTGATGGAAACTGAAAAAAAAGTTATGAAGCCAGCTGTTGGTATTGATTACAACTTGACGATTGGTGGGGTAGTTAGAGCGGATCAGGCACTGTATGCTATCCAACAACACGTATAAGGCAGAAGAGATATTATGAAACCATATTTCGCCATCTGTTAGATATGGCTATTTGGAATGCTTTTATTTCACAAAAGAAACAGCTTCCAAACGTGGATAACTACGACTTCCGAATGAGTTTAGTTGAACGTGTTATAGAAATATTTCAGACAAATTCTCCACGACCCTCCAAACGTCAGAAATTACAAACTGACTGTCCTTTACGACTTACTGATAGACAATTTCCGGACATAGTACCATCAATTGTCTGCAACTACTGCATTATACTGTTGCTAAGACCATTTTACAGTAACTTACTTAATTATAATTTAATTCTGTAAGATTGTTTTTCTGATTGATAAGCTTCTCTGAATGAATAATTCATTATACCGAATTGAAATGTTTATGAAATGTTGTTCAGATCACTTTCTTTTTTTCTTTTTTTTTTTAATTCTTTAAAATGAAAGGATTTTATTTGTAAAGAACAGTGGTGTACAGGTTCTTTTTTTTAAAGTTAAAGAATAATTTTATCTAGAAGAAAAAATTATCAAAGTTAAAATAAAAAATGATAGGGGTTTAGCATTATTTACATTTCTTCAAAAAAAAAAAAAAAATGCAAGAAAATATTTTAGAAGTTAATAAAAGAATTTTTTTATAAAATTTACCTAAATTCCAGGTCATATACCATTCATTCCATTCCCTCTAATTGGGATCAACTCATTAAATAAAAACTTTCAAAACAGTTCAGACTTTTATCTATAGTCAAATATAAATAAAAATGAATCAGTGCAAATAAAGTCTCGACATTTTTTTTTTTTTCATTCTCCAATTTTATTTCATTATGCTGAAGAGTTTTGAGTTAAAAAATAAGTAATCAATTTTATCTAGAAGAAAAAATTATGAAAGTTAAAATAAAAAATGATAGGGGCATTATTACATTTCTTCAACAACAAAAATCAAGAAAATATTTTAGAAGTTAATAATAAAAAGAATTTTTTTCTAAATTTTATTTACCTAAAAGCTTATAATATGAAATTATTTCAAAAGTTATTGAAAAAAAAGTAGTTTGGACATTTATTTTTTCATTCCTCAATTTTATTTCATTATGCTGAAAGGTGCCCACAAAAATTTTCTCAAGGGGGAGGATGCAACTGATATACACTACATATATATTTAGACTATATATATGATATAAACATGAAAGAAAAACAATTTTTTAAAAAATGCAGTTCAAATTAAAACCCCTTTGTAGATTTTCCCCTTTGAACATTTCAAGATAAGAAGCTTTGGTTTTCGCTGAGTTACTATACTTTCACGTCATAAGCAAACCCCGCCTCATTGTGTGTCACGTGAAGTTAGTTTCATTTTTGACTAATTTTGAGTTAAGTTTTTTTAATATTCGGGTCAGTTTTTTAAATTCTGAATTGATTTTAGAGAGTTTTAAGATGTAGACTATTTAAAATAATCAACATTCTGCGATTACCCAACGCATGCAGGTTCCTCATTGCAACGCGTGCATCATTTCCCCACCACCACCAAAACACCGCGTAAAAAAACTCATTTGAACAAAAAACTGTGGCACTGGGGAGTGAATCACGTAAATTTTGCTCAGCAGGTAAGGGGTTAAACTTCTGTGACTTCAGAATGTTTTTTTTATTATTATTTTATCAATTTAAAATTTCAGCTGAAGCAAGCCAGTCATTGGTTAATTTTTTTATTCCGAAATGAAAAAAAAAAAAAAAAACAGAAGTATTTCTTTCCTTTCTGATAAACAAGGAAAGTATCTTTAGAATATACTTTTGCAGAAAAATTATTTGCTTTTGTATTTTTTTAGTGATTTTATTGCTTTAACTCTTTCTTTAATTTGTTTTTTAAGTTTAAAATCTATAATATGAAGATGCAGAGTATTTTTGCTTCTACCTGTCATTTCAATTAATGTTATTATAATGCTTTTTTAAATTTATTGTTGTGTTTTTGTTGGAAAAAATAGTAACTTTGTTAAGTCATGAAGAATTCTTGGAATTAATCACAGAAAGTCATGAATTTGAAAATCTAAAATGTAGCAGATACCCTGAAACCTTGTTTTTTTTAAATGCCCCCCCCCCAAAAAAAAAAACTAAACCCTGTTTTTTCAGGTTGGGCCCACTTTAACGAACCCTGTTTGTTGACCCCGTGGCAGAATCACGGCGGCATTGTCACAGAATGTTACAGAGTTCTTGCAGAAAGATTTTTTATTTTTTTCAAAAGTGAAAAACAATTTTATTTTTATTTTCCGCAGAAGATATTAGTGCTGGAGAGTTTTGTAGCAGACAACTCAAACAAATTCTGCCATAGAATTTGTAGACCTTGTATTACGAGCACAAAGAGCACTTATTATGAAAGTTTATGCATAGGTGTGTGACATAGCACGTATGCCCAGTTCATTCATGTAACTAGTCATGCAACTCTAAAATTACTTTTTATTACAATTTTTGAGGGATAATAACATTATCATTTTAAAATCTGAAAGGAAAAAAATTTTAAGATTGCGCAAGATGTGTACTTTTAAAGTATTTCTTTCATACCGCACATGAGTGTAACAAATTTGAGGAATAAATTTCATAATTTTATGGAGAATTGTAATAAGTAACTGATGAAGAAAGTTCGATTTGGATATCTTGAAGATTTAAAAAGTTTTTACCAATTTTCAAGGTAGCTTTTGTACTTTTTTAAAGAAGGCTCTGAATTATAAGAGGTTTTCCACATATTTTATTTTAAACTATTGAACAAGATTTATTAAAAAAAAGAACCAGATCTCCCATAAAAGTATGTTTTTTTTTCTTTATACCATCACAATTTGGTGTGCAGACTATGATTGCAAAGTATTATCTTTTGTTATATGATACAAAATTAAATTTGTGGAAAGCCCTTTATCTTGATCTGGAGCTTTCTTTTTTAAAAAATACAATGGCAACTTGGAAAATTGTTTAAAGCTTAATTTGACTTTTTTCATTTGTTACCTGATATGATTCACTACAAAATTATGAAAAAACTACATTAAATGCCCATGTCTTGTGCAATTGTAAAGGATTTTTTTTTTTTTGAAATCTTCAAATATTTTTATTATTAATTAAAGTTTGCTCCAAAAACTTAGTTTAATTCTGTTGAATATTTTTTCATGTCCATATCTCCATAGATATTTAAGTTTGAGAAATTTCAGGCAAACATTGCAAATAATAAGCAAAGTAAATGATTCTAGTAGTTACAAACTTATTGCTACATTTCTGACATAGAGTGTTCAAAAATACTTGTTTTCGTTCACAATTTTTTGGTCCTTTAAAGCTCTGAAAGCTTTAAAATTGATTGTTAAGTATGAAAAATCGTATAGTCTAATCATCTCTAAAGTTATAAAATAATCCTCTAAGTATATCTTAGAAATTTTAAAATATGTCAAAAACTACAAGTCTCTCTTCTATTATTGTTGGGTAGTGTACATAGTCTTACCTAGATACTCTGCCCAATTACTTTGTCACTTTGTATTTAAATCTTGCATTTAAAAAAATAAGCAAATTATGTTCAAGAATTAAATATTATTTGAAATAAAGAATAAGTTCTTTGTTACAGGGGAAAGTATACCAATTCGAGTTTTCCTAGCTGGTTATGATTTAACGCCGACTATGAAAGACATCAATAAAAAGTTTTCTGTGCGATATTATTTAAATCTAGTCCTGGTTGACGAAGAAGATCGAAGATATTTTAAGCAACAGGTGCTTTTTAGTTTTATAAATAAATCTCCTCTAATTAAAACAGTCTGCATTAAGTGTACTGAGAACAATAAGTATTTTTTTTCTTTTAAGTGATATTCCTTCCATTAAAAATGACACCAGCATTGTGGGGAATCATCCCCCATAAAAGTTGGTTTTCTTTCACATGTTTTTTTTTTTTTTCCTTTACCATCACATTTTGGTGTATGACCATTATTAAGGTATCCTTTATTATTAAATTTTGTTTTATGATTCGAGATGAAATTTGTGAGAAAAAAAAACTTTTGTGGTGCTTTCTTTTAAAAAGTGCAAAAACTATTTCGAAAGTTGTTAGAAACTTTTTAAATTTTCGAAATATTCAAATCTGACTTTTTTCATTAGTTATCAAAGAAGATTCACTATAAAATTTCCTGCATTAAAAAAGAAATAAAAATTTATTTTGAGTAAAATAGTTTTAACTTCATTGAATAAGTTAAATCAGTGTAATGCAATTTTTTTATGATAAAAGAATACCTAAGTTCTTGACCATAGATCTAATTTGAAGTATGATTTACATGCTTTCTAGGAACATAAAATTTTTGTCTAATATGAAAATATATTTAAGGAAAAAATTTGTAAATGCTTTTACCTAAGGACATATTAAGATTTATATATAAACTCAAATCAGGAAGATTAATTTCCAACATTATAAAAATCCTTTTTCTTTATTAAATAAATATGTTTTTTTATGTTTTACAGGAAATTGTTTTATGGCGAAAAGGGGAGGTGACTAGAAAAACTATTCAACAATCAGTTCCAGCTGAATCTAAGTAGTATGAGTTTCTGTCTTGTTTATCATGCTGTAAAAATTTCTATGGACCAATGAGTGAATTGATGCATTTAAATGCTCAGTTTTCTTCAACGTCCAACCTAATATGCCTTTGGGCTTCTTCGGAATGGAAGTTATTCAGCCATTACGGCAAACTTGATGATCACTCTTAATATGTGTATTCAATATTAAAAATACTTCCAGTAAAATTATTTTCTCCATTGTTTTGTTTACAAAAACTTGAAATGGAGAATAAGATAAAGTGAATATTTTGTTTTGATAAAAGTTTGATTGAAACTAAGAAATATATAATTTTTTATTATACAAGTTTTAATTCATTTATTAACTTTTTAAATTATATTTTGTCTTTTAGATCTGTAAGTCTTTTTATAGAAATGTGTAATAATTATCTGAGTAATAATTATTTATGGGGAAATAATTTTGCGCTGTTTAGATTATATTGAGCTACATTAAAACTTTTTTTAAAAAATGCAATATTTTGTGTTGCTGTATAAATAAAGTCCCTATAGTGTGCGTTATGTTTCCCTGAAACTTCTTTCATTATCAGCAATAACAAAAATGTAAGATGAAGTAGAACAGTTTAAATGCCTTTTTCTTAAAACTATACTTTTTGCCCTTTGTTTGACGTGACTCAAACCATCTTTTTATTCTTTTCTTGCATTGTTTAAACTATGACTCTTGATGAAAAGAGGCTTTAAAAATTATAAAAATGTGAGTTATTAATTTTTTCTGCTATAAATTTGCAATAAAATACTTATAAAATATCTAATAATGTAAAAGCAAATAACTATATAACTGCATATCATATAACTATGTCTTAGACAATATGATTTTGAATAATGCAAAAAAATTATTAGAAGTTTTGCAAAGGTCTTGGATAATATTTTGGCTGCTTCTTTTTTTTCTTATATCTGTATAATAATTTTAAACAATAAGAAATTGTTTCAGGGACTATTAACGCCATAAGGGTTCAAGTAATACAAGTTGTTAAAAATATTTTTATTAGTATTGTGGAGGGGGGAGGTGATTAGAATTGTCTGAATTTTCATATTCATATATTATTGATATTTCACATTTGTTACATTCCACTATTGACTTTTTCTATATGAATTAATTTCCTGTCAGTTTCATTCCTCTAGTATATATCTATAATTAATTGCATGCCTTAATAACTAATAAATTGCAATGAACTGTTTATTGCTATAGAGCTTTATTAAAAATTTACTGTCAGATTTAAAAAAATTTATTTTTATTCCATTATCTATATAGTATTTGTTTCTAGTAGTGAATATGTAAAGGTTTTGAATGTCTGGTAAAAAAAATTATCAATTATATTTTTCTCATTGTTTGTAGAGTTGATATTTTATGTGCCATTTTAATAAAAGTATTTTGCCCTTTTTTATAAAAAAAATAATAGTAATATGTGGGTGTCTTTCTTTTTTTTTTTTTTTTTTTTTTTTTTTTTTTTTTNTTTTTTTTTTTTTTTTATATATATATAGTTATGGGTCTAATTTTAGAAATATGAATATGTAAGAAATCAGCATTGATCAGTTTATTATTTTCTAATTTTTTTTAAACATTTTCTAATAAAAGTAACTATAAATAATGAATCAATTTTATAATATATAATTTATTTCACAATTATATTTATACAATAGTTTATTGAGTGTTACACTTTGACTCTCTAATGTAAATTTTTACGTTTTTATTTTAAACAGGTTTTTTTTTTTCAAACAGAAGTATCATTCCTATAAATATGATTTCATACTTAGACATATTTATACAAAATTTGTGGAATTTTTATAATTGTACTAAACCTGTAATTTTTTATAGTAAATCAATTGAGACTTTAACTTGTTATAAATTTGTTTACTTAATTATGAAAATAAGTCAGACTAAATAATGCATGATTTATGTCAAAAAAAAGTTATTTTAATGATAAAATATCAAAACAAAAATCATTTTTTTATGAATGATATGGTTGCCTTTCTCATATTTGGTGAAAACCAAAGAACATTGTTTTGTATGAAATTTTAGTGTGATCCTGCAAATTTGTAGATGATAAATAGATATGTAAAAAGCACACAACTGTAAAATGAATTATTTAGTAAGTATAAAAATGTTTTATTAACAAAAATGTTAAATATTGTTGATTGAAATTAAAGTTGTCCATTGTTGTCAATTTTATTAGATGTATCATTTATTACACTTTCTGTTTCTGTCTACATTGAACGTAGTGCGATATAAATGTGTTTTACTATTTTCAATGCTCTTTATGTTATGTGAAGAAAAGTAAAAATTACTCATTAAATTTTCTATAAGTACTACACTTGCTTTGGATCAATGATCTAGATAAAAGCTTAGTTAAATATGCAAAACTTTTTTAATCATGAGGATAGTCTATTATAACATATATATATATGAGGATAGTCATGTTATAAACTTTGTTTTCTGATTAGATTTATAGAGTAAGCTCCACAATAATTATAACAGACATTCAATGATTGACAGTGTTGATACCATTGTAATTGTCAAAATATCCACAAAATTACAATATTTTATAATGTGTCATTTGGTGAACATTGCAAAAAATCAAGGATCCTTAAATTATTTCTTTTTCATATTTTAACTTGTCTCATGATCTTTAAAATTTAGGGAAATACCATTTTATGAGTGATTATTATTACTATGAATGCTATTTCAAATTTTGAGTAGATTTTTATTTCCTCCCATAAATTTTCCTACTGCTTTGCCCAATGTTTCTATTAAAGTAAAATATTATGATATTTCTTTATATTTTACAAATATCAATTAGTTGAAGAATTAGAACTAAGTTAATGTTTTAAAATTTTTTTTAACATGCAATATGTCTATACCAACTGCTATGTGCTGGTGGACATTATATAGTTTATATCTTCATTGCATTTCAGCAACACTACTATTGTTGTTGTTTCTAATGCGACTTGCCACACGGGCAAGCCTGCTTGATGAAACCGAGCAAATTTAAGGCAGGGTGCGTTTCTTGTTTTTCAGTGGCGCCATCTATGGCCAAGAATTCGACTTCTGCCACACTATGCGTCACACCCATTTTTAGGGCGGATGCATTCATTCGTCCACAGATCGTAATTTTGACCCGAATCAGAGGACGATCGATCTCTAATCCAGTACCCCCAGAGGTATTTATTTGTTATGAGAACATGGAGGACTTTTGCGACTCAAGAGATTTAACTGCATCAGTCACTTTACTACACGGGGAGTCTTCGGCTACGGGGTTCGAACTCTCGGACATGGACCCAGCGCCCTTCCGACCGGGCTATCCCGGCACGAACACTACTTCTCCGACAGTAGATAGCCCAAAAAAATTATGTTCAGTTTATTCCAAAAAGAAACTTAATTCAGATTAACTGGTCTATCTTTGAGGGGAAAAACACAAAATAGAAAGAATATGAAAATTTGACAACTTATTCAGATTATCACATTAAGATGGGGGGGGGGGATTTTTTGTAGACATGTAACGACTACCAGTAGATTTATGTTGTAGTGGTTTGTTTCATATCTACAGCACATAATTTATCAATTACTAGACACAATTTTTTTTTTTCTTTCAGCAACTCCTTTTTTTTATATTGTTAAACGAAATGTGGGGAACGGTTTTTTATCCAAAATTCAGAAGTACTACTTAGGGCTTTTAGCATTGGTAACTTGGGATAGCTCTCGTATGATGATTATCTCGGTAAGATTCTTCAGTGATCTATGACTTTGATGAATAACTAATAAATGACAGATTAAAATAATCAAAAACCTGTTTATTTGTCTAGTTAAAATTTAAAGATAAGCTTGTTGCTTCATCCCTAAGTGAACTAATTTTAAATAATTTAGATGCCTCTATTGCTCTAACTGGCATCAATAATTATAGGTTAGAGTTACAAAACACTTTTCTTTCATTAATTTGTGTCCCCTAATGTGAATAATATTTATTGTAGAACAATCTGTTTGTATTAATCAATCACTGGACACTTCTGGCTTTCCCAATTTTCAGAACTTTTTTTTCCTTCAGATTACTAAAAAAATGGCTTCATGTGTTTACTCACACTCATCTGGTCACACAAGTGTTTAGAGGACCAGTAAGGAATTATGAACAAGACAAACTTTTTAACACCCTAAAATAACTATTGATCTTACTTTTACTTGTGTCTTACATTATGATGTTTAATATATTTAAAAATATATCCTTTATATATATATTTCCTTTAAAAAATTGAACATTTTGCCTCACTTTTCTAAATTAGTATATAAAAGACTTATTCACTGCAATTGAAATTTCAGAGTATGAAAATTTTAAGTAAATACTAGTATTTGAAGCTATAGTTTTACATTGTGCTTTCCCAAAAAAGTTAGAGCTATTCTCATTCCATGCAGAAAATTCGAACAGGAAATTGATTAGAGAGTTTTTTTGCAGGAAAATGTATTTGACCAATCTGGTTCTCTTTTGCATCTACGAATTTTCCGCATACAGTAAGATTTTTCTCTTCAAAAGAAGAATTTTCCTTGGTCTTTAAATTTAAATAATTCTGAAATTTGTCTCCAATTCAGAAGAAATCCTTTGTCGGCCCACCTTAAAGAGAAGGTTTATCTTAAACTTTCTTTTTGCATCAAAAGAAAAAATATACTAGTGATTATATAAATCCTACAAATGAATAACTTGTGCGCTAAGTTTCGTTATAAACAAAACTAAGTTTTGTAATATTATATAAGTTTGAGTTTTTTTATGCAAATAAGTTTATTGCTTAAGATTCCATAAAATATAAGAAAAATACTTATTGAATTTTAACAATATTCAGACATGAGTTTTTTTTTTTTTTCATTTATTGACTAACATATTAGGCGAAAAAACTAACTGAAAATTAAATTTATACAAGTAAAATATACAAAATTCAGAGACTAATTTTGCTGTAATCACTGGATTTTCTTTTGATGCACTTGCATTTAAACTATGAAATCAAAAACATTTTTCCTCTATTTTATCTAATGTTTGAAATTTTAAGTTCCAAAATATTTAGTTATTTTTAAAACTCAAAATATAACAATTTACGGGGAAATGTACAGTGCGCAAAAAAAAAAAAAAAAACGGACCACCTTAGATAACTATTGATCGGAGCCTAATGACTTCTTACATTCTATGACTTAATATTTTGAAAGGTGACCTCAATATTTTAAGTTACGAAACCAGTCACAAAAACGTACATTCTCTGAATCAACATGCCGTCTTTTCAACAGATTCGGATTTCTTACTCCTAAATATGATCCCAATGGTTTGGTAAGAAGCGAGGTCTAGTTTGGACCCCTTAATGTTAATTTTACTTTTTGCGTATTTCGCCATATATCGAGAACTTTTTTTTTAACGAATTGAAGAATTTTTGCTCACAATTATAAAATTTGTTTATCCAAAAATAGTTCCATGCAAAAAATCACTGAGTAAATATTTATTATTTTATTAGTCGGAAAAAATTTTGAATTGTAAGGTATACAACTGTTTACATTATTTTAAAAAATTTAATTTTACATGGCGAAATCGGTCAAATAAAATTTTCAAAATACAATATTTTCAAAATTTCATTTCTGAAACTATTCGAACAATTTTGTATTTTGCCATGTTAAATTACATTCTTTAAAGCGATGTAAAAAAAAAAATGGCATTTCTTGAAATTCAAAAATTTTTCGATTTAAGTTTTTTTTGCATGGAATTTTATTTTGATAAACGAATTTTATAATTATGAAAAAATTTTCGCTTTTCTCAAAAAGTTCTCATGATACGGCAAGATACGCAAAACATAAAATTAACGTTAAGGTGTCCACACTTTTCCCAGATTGCGTCTACCCCCTATATTTAGGGGTTAGAAACCCGTTGAAAAAAAGGTATGAACGTAAGGTAAGTTGAAGAAAGTATGTTTTTTAATCTGATTTCGTAACCTAAAATATCCGCAGTTATTATTTAGCTTATTTAAGGTCAGCCCTTAAAAACATTAAGATTAAATCCAAGGTCGTTAGATCAAAAGTTATTCAGGGTGGTCCATTTATTTATTTTTTTACGCACTGTATTATATGGAGAAATTATAATATAACATATTAAAAATTGCGGATTCTTTTAACAAAGTAATGCAGAAATCGGAACGTACCTGCATGATACTTTAAAGAACTGAAAAACAAGAGAAAGAATCAGGCTAATTCTATAATTATTTTTCAACTAAAAAATAAAAAACAGCATATAAAATGGGAGTTAATTCATTTTATAACATAAAAATATTAGAGTGCAATGCAATTGTTCATTGAACTTTAAATGCTGTTTTATTTATTAATTTAAAGAAAAAAAAACATTTTTTAGGAAGAAGACTCGTTAACGCAACGATGGCGAATCTGCGGTTCTCAAAATTTTGAATATTATAACTTTAGTAAGGATGCTTTCAGGAAATGATTAAATCTAATTTGTTAGTAAAGGTAATACTCTGTAGTACTTGATTTCGATCAATATCATTTCTGTATTTGATATCCAATGTTTCTCAACACAACATTGAACAAAAATCTAAAGGAGACTGCGTGGCTCTACAACCGCAGTTTCGCTCGAATAATAGAGGCCTTTTTTTTAAGTAAAAAAGGTTGAAGAACATAGTTTTTTTTAATAATTTAGGTTCAATTTAACTTACACTATTTAAATTATATTAAAACATAATTTGTCCCACTGTGGACTGATCGTTAAGACACGGTTCCCAGCAGATCACCGAAGTCAAGCATCACTGGCTACGGTCAGTGTGCGGGTGGGTGACCACTTGGATCAGCCTGCGTAGGGACCGAGGGTGTGCGGTATTGGTCCTCGTTAAACTGTTCTATCGTAAAGTGCTAGACTTCGCGTGCAGGTCGTCGGGCTACCGAAGCGGGGGTGCCATCCCCTCCGCAGAGGATCAAAATTGTGATGGCATGTCTTCGGATTATCCTCAGGGATGTTTCCCAGACCGTCGCCAATGGCCCATTGTGCATTTAGCTACGAGTTTTTTTACCTCTTCAAACTGTTACAGAAGAAGATCTTATAGACGTTCGTGAAACTGCCGAGTTTTATAAGAATGTCTTAAATGCTTCCGTAAAAGTTGTCGAAGCAGAATTTCGTTTTTGGGTGGCAAAATGGCAGCGTGAAA